ATGTACCTGGACACCAGAAGCTTTCTGATTGATCTGATGTGTCTCCCTCCATCTTTCACCCACAGCTGGGAGTGATTCGTTGTCTCTCTCTCTGTCTCTGTCTCTCTCTGTGTCTCTCTCTCTCTCTGAATCCAGGGACTTTGCACATGCTAAGCAAGCACTCTACCACAGAGCTACACCAGCAATTTCCTTTGAGGTGATGGAACCATTTGGTGTTTTGACTGTCGGTGGCTATGCTAATCTGTGCCTGTGATAAAATGTCATGGGTTCTCCACAAAGACGAACGAAAATGAGTGCCTGCAAAGACCAGTGATCTCAGGTAAGCTCTGTAGTCTACCAGGGTGTGTGGTGCCTTATTGCTTTCCAGGTTTGATTGTTCACTGTGGTTACATAAGATGTCACCAGGAGGAAGCTGGGTGACAGCTGTCTACCTGCAACTTCTTTCCAAATAAAATGTTAGGGGCTGGAGGTGTGACTTAAGTGGTAGAGCACCTGTGTAGCAAGCTCAAAACCCTGAGTTCAAGCCCCAGTACCAGAAAAAAAGCAAAAACAAACAAACAAACAAACCACTTTTCTGTTTTTGGAAAAAATAGAGCTGGCCATATGATCTCCCTAGTCGTCGCCACCTAGCGGCACAGGTGGGAGGTGCAGGATGACGTTCCGTTTTCCCAGCAGGGCCGGGAGTTTTCCTCCCTTTACAAAGGAAATTTGCCAGCTCCCTTTCTGCACCAGGTGCTCCGCTGAGGCTGACAGTAAAAGAACATCCAGCCTTGGGGGACCCAGGAGGCTGGACTCCCTCGAAGCCTGGTCAACTGACTGGTCAGTAAGGTGCTGTGAAGGCCTGGTCCCTTGTCATATGTGAACAACACTGAGGCTCTCCAGAGCTTCCAGAGCGGTGGTGTGACGGTGGTGTGGGAGATCCGCTGAGACCTAATGTGGCTAGTACTTCAGCCTTCATCCTCCCCAGGTGATGGTTCTGATGGCACCCAGTTGGCCTCCTGCTTTTGCTTCCAGGGAACATCAGCCCAAGACATGCAAGAGAGAAGCCTGGACAGCGAATGTGGGTATTTCCTGGAAAATAAATCATTTTTTGGGGGGTTGCCAATCCCTGAGTAGATGTGTGCACTGAGGCACCTGGGACAGGAGGTGAGGGAGGACGTGGGGCAGGGTGTGATGCTGGGGACAGAGGCCACCTGTGGAGGGGAGGGCAGGAGGAGGACCTGACTTTGAGAACAGTAAAGACCTGAAGCCGTGGGTACAGAAAGTGGGAGAGAACACCTGGCGGGAATGTCACCTGGTACTGTCGCTGTAGGAGAGGGTCTGGCAGGTCCTCCACAGGCTACAGGGAGAGTCACTGTGTGAGCCGGCACTTCCACTCCTGGGCTTGTTCCCGAGAGACTTGAATCACACGAGCCACGAATGAATGTTCCCATCCCCAGCTTTGTGTGTGGAAGCCCTAAGCCCCGTGTGATGCCTTTGGGAAGTGATTAGGTTCCGGTAAGGTCACGAGGTAGGGTTAGCGTCCTTGTAAGAGTAGAGACTGCAGCTCGATCTGTCTGTCATCTGAAGACACAGAAAGAAGGCGCCCATCTGCAAGCCAGAAAGAGGACACTCATCACAAGCCCACCACGCTGTGGCCTGACACTGAACCTCCAGCCTCCAGATCTGTGAGAAGTCTTTCATCTCTGCTGATTAAGCCACCAGCCTGTGTGTTCGTGGGGGCAGCCCCAGCTGAGTAAGACCTGGTGCCCACAAAAAAACTTGCACACCAGTGTCTGCAGCAGCTGTATTCATAACGACCCCAAAGAGGATATATAATTCAGATGTCCTTCAGTTGGTGAGTGGATAAAGAAAAGTGGCATGTCCACGCGATGGGATGTTCTCTGGCATGAAAAAGAGTGAGGTAGTGATGCAGGGCACAGCATGGTGGGACCTTGAAAATGCTCTGCCAGACCTCAGCTGGTAGGCTGGGTTGGAAATGGAAGAACATTCACAAGTGGTAGCTAAGTTTGGGGGGAAAGGTGCACAAAAGAGAGCTGAGGTGGAGTGCAGAGCAGACGTGAGCAGAGGCCAAGAAGAGCACGCAGGATACACTTGAGGTGTCTGGCATCCATCATGCAAAGACATCCTGCAAGTTGGTGGACATTTTCCTTTGGGACTTGGAAGAGCGCTACCTGGGCTGGTGATGGAGATTTGGAGGTATGTGGGCTGAGGGCACAGCCTGGGGAGTCTTCATGTCCAGGGAAGACAGAGGGGGAAGCTGAGAAAGGGAGGGTGAAGGATGCCAGGAGGACACCAAGCAGATCACGTGTCCACTCGCACAAGCACTGGGCATGTCCCTTGGAGTTAGCAAGCAGCTGGGCCCCATGATATTTTCTAGGGGAGCTCAGGGCAGAGGCTGGGCAGCAGGTCTTAGAACAACTGTTGTGGGGGGGGTGTTGGGAAGAGGCCCCCACCCCCGTCAGCTGTGCCACTGCCCCTTCTATGTCTTTCCCTAACTAGATGGAGCTCCAAAAGGACAGCTTCTGTTTCTACACATCTTTGCGTGTTCAGACAAAATCCAGTTCATTCAAACTATATCAGTGCTCACCCTCACCTGGGCCCAGTGTGGGACATGTAGCTGAGCCTCACATGTCCACTGGGACACCAGTAGGTTCCCAGACTGTAAGTGAAACTCTGGGCCAGGCATCTGCTGTGTGACCTCTGGTGAGTTACTGTGTCATCCTCTGGTTTTCTCATTTGGTGGCAGGTGATTTCTGACACTTTTCCTGGGGACAATATGTGATGATTCTAGAACTTCTCTGCTTGTAGCTACGCTTTTGGCCCCAGAGGCCTCAGCAGAGTTGGAAGCCTGGATGGTGGGGGTGGGGTGCTCACACTTCCTAAGACTTCTTCACCCCAGGACCTTCCAGCTCCTTGTCCTGATGACCCAATGTCCTTGCCACAGCCCCCTGCCCATGCCCCCCACTCAGTGTGGTCTAGAGGGTCCTGCATGCTGTCTCTTGCCAGCCTCTCCAGTATCACCTGTGCCCACTGGCTTTCTGAGCCCCAAGCATGATAGGCTTCCCTCAGATTTTATTCTCTCCACAAGCCTTCCTTTGCACCTGCTGTTCCTTCAAACTAGACACTCTTCATTCCCTTAATTCCTCACCTGGTCAGCTCTTTATTGCTGCTCACTCAAGTGCAGCTTCTGCAGAGGAACTGTGGGTCCTTGGGCAGTTACCCTCCCCCTCCCAGCAGGCCTGCAGAGCACCTGTGCTTCTTCCTTGCTCTGCTATCAATGGGTAAATGTCTGTCCACAGCCTCCAGCAACAGGGTCCCCCATGTGGGTCTCCTGCTGAAGAGGGCTCCAGGCAGGACCCCCTCTGTTTGTGGCTCTCTCCACAGGGTGAAAAATCTATGGGGCCCTCTTGGAGGCCGGAACTTTCCCTTTAGACCAGATGCTAATACCGGGAACCCCAGAAGCCCCTGCCCCAGTGCCCTAGCCCTGGGCCCTTATGTGTCACCAGTGATAGCCAAGTGACAGCTGGGTGCAGGAGGTACCAGAAGTATGCACTCATGGACATGGGTCATTCCTTGGGGTAGGAGGCTCTGTGGGTAGAAGATCCAGAGCAGGCTGAGGGCTAGGGCCAGCTCTTCTCGTGCCACCCCGCTCTGGTATGGACCTCAGAAAAGTCAAAGAAGTTTAGAATCTGGCCTTCCAGGTCATTATCAAAGTACATTTCCCAAAGCAGGAGAATAGAACATGTTTTATTTAACAGTTGTCAGCTTGACTTAGAGCTTTTAAATATGCAGCCATCTAGTAGGAGGCCTCCATTTGTTCTCTTGCCCAGCTCTGACAGCATCAGGGCAGGGCTTGGGTCAGCCTCCTCCACTGGACCCTAAGCTCCACCAGGGCAGATGCATGTGCTGTACCCCTGCCCCAGAGCACAGTGCCTGGCACATGAGGGCACACAATAAATATTGACAGTGAGGATCAAGTGGGATAATCCACATAAAATGCTGGCATGGTGCGAATGCCCAATAAATACTAGCTATTATTGTCTGTTGAATCAGTGAGGGTGGGTGGGGCTGGGGGTCGAGATCCATCCACTCCCGGGTTCACCCCTCCTTTCCTAAGGCCGTTTTTTCCTCTCCGCACCTCACAGGCCTCTCCCGGCTCTTCACAGCAAAGTAGGCACCAGATAGGTACATGTGACAGCCAGGGTTCTGAGAGGGATGGGGGCTCTGACCAGTGCTATGTCCCCCTCCCAAAAAAAGAACAGCTGGGTTAGTTTCCTTCTTTGCCTTCAGGGATGGCCCCAGGCCATCCCTGAACTTGCCCAGTTTAGCTTCTCTGCTCTGCCCATAGGCCCATACTGCAGCGGTGGAGGCGGGGGCTGAAAGGATTGGTACCCCCCCCACACCGGAGGTTTTGTCTGGTGTAGGAGGAGCTTTGCTGGGAATCACATCACTCCCTGGACCCGGAATAAGCCACTTCACCTCTGCAAACCTCCCTTTCTTCATTGGTAAGATGGGATGGCCGGTGGCAAAGGAGCATGCCAGGTAGCAGGACCTGGGTACACATCTAGTCGGTGCGAAGAACCCTTTCACAGAACACGAGTGGTTCAGGGAGGGCAGAGGTGAGGAACTCCAAACAAGAAAGCAGATGAAACTGTCCTCAGTCAGCCACATGGCGCAGGAGCCAGTCATGCCTTAGGCAGAAGGAGGCAGGTTGGGTGGCCTGGGCTGGAAGTAGGGGTCAGTCCTGCCTTGTCAGTGGCAGGGATATTGTCAATAGCTGCTTCCTGACTGGGACGGGGCTTGCACAGGGCTGGCGCTCACGGGGTCTCTGCGAAGGCCTGGGCCAGATGCAGTCCCTCTCCAAATTCCTCCTCCCAGCAGTGGTCCCCGAAAACAAATGCTCATCCCCCCACCCCCTTCACATTCGCAGACCTGAACAGTAGGTGGCGCTGTAATAAAGAGCAGAACCTAACGAACCCGAAACAGGACACACCAGGGAAGGAAAAAAAAATCACATTTTGCAAACTGTGACCCCACCAGGGGTCACCATACCCTCGTAATCGAGGGCTGCAGCGATCACTGTGCCTGCGGACTGTGGGAGGCGGAGGTTCTCACAAAGTCCAGCCTCATGGCCTCCAGCCACCAACCTGCGTGGCCAGACCACGGTCGCCGCTGCACATCCCAGCTCCGCAGTCAGTGCGGTGGGAAGATCTCCGAGCACTGCTGCAGGATGAGCTCCACCACCTGGTTCTGGAACACCATGGTCATGGGCACGGTGGTCTCCTCCGTCTCAGGCCGCAGCAATGTGGGCCCGAACACAATGGCCACGCTCTGCACCGACATGCGGTTCTGCTCCCCGTGCTCGATCACCCTGGGCAGGGGTGGGTGGGATCAGCGCCCAGAGCTGGGAGGGGGACGGGGTAGGGCGGGCATGGGTGCTTCAGCCACGATCCACCGTCTTCCCACCATGGGAAGGCTGTCCTACTCACCTGCACAGGTGCTGGAAGAGCACCCGCAGCGTGTCGAGGTTGGGGGCGGGCAAGGTGCGCACCAGGTCACGCACACAGCGGCTGCGCTGGGCATGGTCCTGCAGCTCTGCGCAAGGGAAGGGCCAGAGATGGGGTCCGCTTAGAGTGTGGAAGGGGTCTGCTAGCGTCCCCGTCCTCTCTCCCTTCCCTCTCCCCAGCTGCTCACTGATGGCCGCGATGAACTGGCTGAAGTGTGAGAAGGGGAAAAGGGGCTCAGGCAGCTCTCGGAAGAAGAGCTTCAGGGCGCCCGTGATCACGTGGACGTCCTCCCAGCGCCCATCGTCCAGGTCCAGACGCTCATCTGCGGCCAGGGAGGGGGAAGAGAGGACCAAGGGGAGGTCAGCACCCCTGCATCATGCCTTCAGGCTCTGGGACAGGGGTTGGGGTCAGGCCTCACCGTGGTCCACCTTATAGCGCAGCTTCTGGATGGTGGCCAGGTTTCCACTGATGCGGTAGAGCCCGTCAATGTCCAGCCCTGGGGGGAGAGGGAGATACTGACTCTGGGGGGTGGCTAGAGCCCCTGCTGATTCTGTCTCCGGCTTCCAGTTCTCTCTCCCTCCACCCTGTGCCCACCCAAGGACCTCCCGGCTTTAGAGCTGGAGGGAGGCCACCGAACACCGGAAGCCTTGCTCAGCTCATGTGGTGCATACCCCGAGCCTCGACCGTGCGGATGCACTGCTGCACAAAGCGTGGCACCGGGCTCCTCTCGCGTTCACACAGGGCAGCCAGTGCGCAGCCGAACACCTGGTCTGGGAGAGAAGGTCATCAGCGCCACCTGGTCCCGCGCCACCTGTGCCCAGTCTCCGGCAAGCCACGGATACCTTTGATGTAGCCCTTCTCCCGTAGCGACTGCATTGTGGGCCTCCTCTGTAGGAACTTGCGGAGCTTATGCCGGACCCTACTCAAGTCGCTCTCCACGCTCGCGGTGCTCAGTGCTGCCACAGGGGATCCCGGTTGGTCTGTGGCCTTGGGGCTTGCCTGGCAGTCCCCAACCAGAGCATTACCTCCCACCCCCAAGAGATAAGACTCCAGGATGCTCTGCTCTCCCTCTTCCCCACCTCCACACACCTGCACTCTGGCGCGCATCATCCTCTTGCCAGTTTCCCAGGCGCTCACTAGACCCGAAGTCTGCGCTGCTGATCTCACTTTCCTCTCCCAGGGGAAGATCTGCAGACTGGAATCAGCAGCCTCAGAGAGGCAGGGCCTGAGGCCAGCTGGGGTCTCTCAGAATGGACCGGATATGCCCCCCAGGCGGAGTTCTCCCTTCCCTTAATGGGTAAACGTCCCTCACCTCCTCCAGGGAATCAGAACGTTCACCTTCCTTGACTGCAGAGCCCTTAAGGTGTGGGAGAGTCATTCTGTTCTCTTCCACCCTTTCTTATCCTAGCCACCCCTACCACCCCCCAGTTTTTGGCCTCATTTCTCATATTGTCCTCAGCTATATACACTCCACTAGACTGACTCCCAGTTGTGCAATTCCAGTTGGGGCACTGTTAACTGCACCAGCATAATCTCCTTGCATCTGGATTCCTGCATCTGGATTTAATACAGATCATGGTCAAAAACCACCGTGTTATTGCCAGGCAAATAACTGTCAGAGAGGCCCTGCCCTATCTCTACTTATGTAACTGATAATGGTGGACTTCTGGAACAGGGCATGTAGCTCAGTGGCAGAGCACTTGTCTAGTATGCAAATAGCCCTGGGTTATATCTTGGCAAACACACACCCAAAAAAGGCTGGGTGTGGTAGCTCACGCCTATGAGCCTGGCTACTCAGGAGATGGAAGCAGGAAGATGGAGGTCCAGGTCAACCTGGGTAAAATTGAGAGACTGAAAAACAAACTAAAAACAAATAGATGGGGCATGGCTCAAGTGATAGAGCACTGCAAAAAAACAAACCAAACCAACCAAACAAAAACCTGAGGGTAGGTACCAGTGGGAGAGGGGCAGGCATAAGGAAAGGGCAAAGGAGGCGAAGATGATGGGTGTAGTTTGTATTCATGTATGAAAATAGACTAATGAAACCTGTTGAGATTGTTCTAAGAAGGGAGGAGGGGAGATTAGGGAGGTTGGAGGGGGTGAAACCAATTAAGGTATATTCTAAGCACTTATGTAAATGTCACAGTGCATCCCCCTGTACAACTATGATATGCTGATAAAAATATTAATAAGAAATTAAAATAGAAAAGACAAAAAAGTAGCCTGCCGAACTCAATCATTTTAAGTTTTATCTTCTAGTCTCAGCCTGTTCTTCCAGCCTGAGGCTGGTTCTCAGAGTATTTCCTCTCCCTCTGCCTCCCTTGAAATGGGAACATCCTCTAGGTTACTACCCAGGGGAAGTTCTAGCCCTTGGGTAGAGTACTCCTGCAAGGCCTCCTTAGGGCTGGCGTGATATGTGTAAGGAAGAGCCTTTCTTCCCTGCCATTCCAGCCATAAGGGGGCTATACCTGCAGGGAAGGTCCCTCACCCATGGTACTGGTGCCATGGAGTCTGGCCCATGTGGGCACAGCTGCCCTATACAATGTCTGGCTGCCCCCTCCCCACCAGCCCTGGAGGCCCAGGCTCTGCCTACCAGCTCCTCAATGCCCAGGGTGATGGCCTTGTGCCAGGTGTTGATGATGGCCTCTGAGTCATGCTGGATCAGGTACTCTGAGCCATCACGGCTCCGCAGCTGGAAAGACACAAGTTACTGGGTCATTTCTGGTTCCTGGGTCTACAGCGGGTAAGATGGGTACAGAGATGGAGGTAACCCATCCTTGACCGTAGGGACTCAGAACCTAATGGAGCAAAGATCCAAGTCCTCCTCCTCATTTAAAGCCACGGGTGACAGCATTTGTTACAGATGAACAAAGTTTTAGCAACTTCCTCCTGGGCACACAGCCAGCAAGAGAAGGAGTACAGCTGTGCAGGGGTCAACTGCAGGGCCCATCCTGTCTCCCTGTGAGCCACAGAGCATGGCAGGCCTCACCCAGAGCACTGGCCTGCAAAAAGGCAAGTGACAGAAACTTCCCATGGGAGACCCTGGCTGCTGGAACAACAATGAAGAAAACCTGAGAGAGAATCTGAAACTGGATCATGGCTGGTCCATGGCTGATTCCAAACACACTGAGCTGCTTGGAACATTGCCCCAGCTTGCCCTACATCTGAGCCTGGCCAGTGAGTCCTCTCACAGCTATCATGAAGAAGCATAGATGAACCAAAGCTCCAGAGGGAAGCTTTGTGACACAGAACTGGCAGCCTTGCTGACTTGGAAGGTTCCCTCATGGGTCTCTGGCTCTGGCTAATGGAAGTGCTCAGCTGCAGAACTGCTCACCAACCCCACGCAGTGAGAGGTAGAGACAGCAGAACCTGGCTCAGACAGCAGGGAGCAACTTCTAGAGTCAAGAGGACTGCCTTTTGGCTGCCTTCCTTTAAAAATTACAAATTGAATACTATTTAAACTGCTTTTTAAAATGACAAAAAGGAGGTTGGGAGTGTAGCTCAGGGGCAGAGAGCTTTTCTGGCATACAAAAGGCCCTGGGTTTGATTCCCAGCGCTGAAGAAGATGAAAATAAAATAAAGTTGAAAGCTACGTTGTCTAGTTATGAAACAATATTTCTTTTTCTTTTCTTCTATATATTTTTTTGTACTGGGGTTTGAACTCAGCCCTTGTGCTTGCTAGGCAGGTGCTGTACCATTTGAGCCACCCCTCCAGCCCTCATAGCAATATAATTCATAAAGCATTTATCCTGTTGAATGCACAGGCAAGCTGAGCTGCCCCCAGGACTGCCCTCTGGGGACTGTCACTCTAGGAGGATGAGGAAAGTGTGCTGCGAGGGCTTCCTGGGCCCCACAAAGCTGTCCATCCTTGAGGACAGAGAATTTGGAGCTCTCTCTTGAGGAAAATTCTGGAGTGGTCTACAGACCACCCTGAGTAGAGGGAGGATGACCACCAGCCAGCCAGGAGGTGGAGGGCTCCCTGACTTCTGCTCAGGCCCGTCAGCCTTCCCATCTACTCAAACAGCTTCCTGCCTCCCTAGCTTTGCTAGAAAAGACAACTCAAACAGGCCTCCTCTGAAACTTTCATCAGAAGCTTGGTCAGAGAGGTGACCTTTGCAGAGAACAGTTAGAAGGCTGTCCCTTGAGGTCCAGAAAGGAACATACCTAGCAATGTAATGTCCCTGCTCAATTTGATGGCATGGCAGACATTGCTAGTTGATCACAGAACTCTATCCTGCCAAGTTTCAAGAAAGCTCTAGAATTCTCAAGAAGGCTCCAGACCTAATGGTAAGAGTTGCTCATGAATGAAACTGGTTTTGCAACCCTGATCTGTGAATACCTTAGTTCTTGAACAGAATGAAACTTGGTGAATCATCAATTCCTTGCAAAACTGCTTTGTCTGAGCTGGGATGCAAGGCTTCACTTTTGGCTTTCTTCATAATATGCTACCTAAAGCAGCCCTAAAATCCCTACGTTGACCTCCATGGAGCTCTTTGGCAGGACACTGGTCTCATCACTCCACACCCCATGATCATAGAACTGTCTATTAGAAATTTTTTTAAAAGCTGAGGGTTAGCTTTGATTCCCTGAAAATCTGGATAGGATGTTTTTATGTTGTTATTGTTTTCAGCAATAAGAGCCATGTAACTGATGGAGTTCCTCTTTTCACCTTTGCTGCCAGGAAAACTGGAGTTAAATTTCTCTCAACAACCACCTTGGCACGAGTCAATCATCTTCCCTAATCATCCATCCTGACGCCATCCCTAACTTGTTTTCCTCGTTCTGGATTTTTTTTGTGGATGTTATCAGCTCACTGCCTGTGCTTTTGTTGTGCTTTGCCTTATAGCTGTTAAGGACTGTTAAAAACAAGACAACCCTGCTACAGCAAAGGGTGTGGCACTATGAGGACCTTGCCTGTCTTCTCTTTCTTCCTGCTGGGGGAGCCTGACTAGCTTGTCATTGCCCTGATTTGTTTACTGGGGACCCAGTCCAGCTGAAAGCTGGGCTCTGCCAAGTGAGAGCCGTTTTCCTGGCCCAGCCTATCAGAGTAAGTAGCCTGAACAGAATCTCCTGATTTGTCTTAGGCCAGCAGATGGAAGGAGGGTGGCCATTGTAGGCGTCAGTTTCATCTCCCAAAAACCTTGCTTTTTCCCACCCTCTGGGGCAAGGATTATTAACTCAGAGGAAACTGCAGAATCCATGATGGCCAGGCAGAAACACTGGACCTGGGATTAGGACAGCTTTGACCTTGAGCCCTGAGATTTCCAGTCCCAAGTTCTTCCCAGGTTCTCCTTTCTGGGGCTTGCCTGCAGTGAGGGTCCCAGTCCATTAGTAAGCTCCTCTCTCCTGCCCACCCTCACCACTTACCTCCAACACATTCTTCTTGCTGGATTTCTCTTTGGGGGCCCAGGAGAGAGAGGCCCCCTTCAGCTCCACTGTGTACTCAGGGGTGGAGAGCTTGGAAGGGTTCCTCTGTGGAGAGAGAGGAGGAGTGGGGAGCCTTCAGCCCAGATGTGTCTGCTACAACACCCTGGCTCTCCCCAGCCTAAGGGACAGGCTGAGGCCACTGTTGTGGCTAGGCAACAGCCCTTGGGGAAAGGGGCCCGAGGGTTCCTGAAACCCCAAGGTCCTGGTGTTTCTTAGCCCTAGAGCCTGCTGACTGGCTTGTCCTCTGCCACCTGTCCACCCAGGGAAGGAAAGAAAACAGGCCCATTCCTGTCCCTGTGAGCACCAGGCCCCAGTCTCCCTGCCCTCCAGACTGGAGCTGGCCGCTCTCAAGGACTGCTCCCTAGCCCCCAGGTGGCTGGAAGGGCTTCTCCAGCAGTGACTCTGTCATCATCACCCCTTTCCTGCCAAGGTGCAGCTTCTTTGGCACTTAGGCATTGCTCTCTCAGACTGGTCTTTCCCAAAGTAGATCAGACAAAGAGCAGAAGGGATGGTTCCTGCTCCAGGATGGGCCTCACCAGGCCACCTGCAGCTGAGGTCTTTGAGTCCTTGAAGAAGGTCAGGACACCACCCTCCAACACAGTCCAGGAGGTAATCCAGTGCTTCTTCCTAGGTGGGTGGGGCAGTGGGTTGGGCAAGACTTAGATTTGCTCTTGAGCTGGGCCCTCCCTCACTCCCAGGAGCAGGGCACAGAGCTTAAGAACACAGCCTGGGGGACCACTTGGGAGAACTGGACTCCTGCCTCTAACAGCTGGTAGCCAAGGGACCTTGGGCATCTATTTCTTGGTGCCTCAGTTTCCTCACAGGACCTCCTGTGAAGTCCCTGTGAGGATCAGTGAGAGCCTGGTACAGGGGAAGCACTCAGTGAACATCGCCATTCAGGCCCACCCTGCCGGGTTCTGGATGCTGACAGGCTCTCACCGGAGCCGCTTCCCCTTGTCCACTGTCTTGGTGCGATGGAGCACCCCTGCCTTGTCCAGAGTCTTGATCTAAGAGATAGAAGTGGGAAAAGGTGTAGTCAGAGGGTGAGCCACGAGGAGCACATATAGCTGCCCCTCAGTTGGCAGCTCTCTCCAGCCTGGGTCTGAGTCTCAGGTGAGACTTCCTCCCAGCTCCCACCCACCCCCTACTCTGCTGGCACTGGGACCTGTGGTTATATCCCACCTGCCCCTAAGACCTCCAGAACCCCCTATGTTCTCTGTGGAGGTCCTATCAGAGTCTTCATGGCCTTTCTCTACCTTCTCCTCCGGAGGGCTGACCTGGGCTGGGGTATCACTGTCCTGGCTGGATTTGTGGATGTTTCGTGGGGCAGGGACAGGGACCTGGGGAGAAAGACCTGTCATATATCACCCCCTCCACTTTTCCCAGCGCTCTCCCTTCCCCTGTTGGTTACCTGGGGCAGCTCCCACTGAACAGAGGAGTCCTCTGGCTTGTAGAAGTATGGCTTTCCATGCTGGTCCTCCAACCTCACCCACTGTGGGGATAGGGATGGTCAGGGCCCCTAGCCAAGCTCATTAGATGGGGGGTGGGGGTGGGTGAAGGTTCCCTTCAACCAGAGTCCAAGGTAGCACCAGGGGCAGTTGCAGGTGACTGTTGTGGGCTGAGTTTGGGTCTTTGTAGGAGTTGCAGTCTTAAGGGGAAACCGGGTGCAGATCGCTCATGCCTGTAAGCCTAGCTACTTGGGTGGCTGACATCGGGAGGATCATAGTTCAAGGCCAGCCAGCACAAACACGTTTTAAAACACCATCTCCAAAATAGACAGAGCAAAATGGACTGGAGGTATGTCTCCAACCAGAAGGCCTGAGTTCAAACTCTAGTCTCCTCCACCACACGCACAAAAAGTCTTAAGGGGAGCTCCTAGTGAGGAAAGTTGAGAGCAGTGACCCTGGGTCTGTCTGGGCCCATCTGCCAGTGCTGCCCCTACCTGCTCTTGGGTGAAGTGGTTGGTGTAGAGCATCTGTTTGTCGGGGCTGATGTGACAGGACCAGCCAGGGGGTGCAGTTAAGGGAGAGGTGGGGCCAGGCTCACTGAAGGAACCCACGGGGAAATAGTCCTCTTCCGGGTAACTGGTCAGCAATTCGGGGTAGTCTGTCTCAGGGGTGGGGGGCTGCAGGGACCAGAAGATGGAGTCAGAGGTTCTCAGTGAGAGTACCGTCCCCTGCCCCCACCTTCTGTACCAGACCCAACCCATCACTCCCTGTGGCAGAGGGGGAGGCTTGTCAGAGGCGCTCAGACTCAGCCCCACCCACTAGGCCCCGCCCCCATCCTCGACTCCCTGAGGAGTGGGAGGCGGGGTCAGAGGCATTCAGGTACAGCCCCACCTACCGGGCCCCGCCCCTCGCTCTCTGGTCCCTGAGGGTCAGGAGGCGGGGTCGGAGGCCCAGGAGAACAGCCCCACCCACCGGGCCCCGACCCTCGCTCTCGGATCCCTGTGGGTCAGGAGGCGGAGTCAGAGGCCCTGGAGGAGGAGCACAGCCCCACCCACCGGGCCCCGCCCCTCGCTCTCAGGTCCCTGAGGGTCAGGAGGCGGAGTCAGAGGCCCTGGAGAACAGCCCCACCCCTCACCCTCTGGTCCCTGAGGGTCAGGAGGCGGAGTCAGAGGCCCTGGAGGAGGAGCATAGCCCCACCCACCGGGCCCCGCCCCTCACTCTCAGGTCCCTGAGGGTCAGGAGGCGGAGTCAGAGGCCCTGGAGGAGGAGCACAGCCCCATCCACCGGGCCCCGCCCCTCACCCTCTGGTCCCTGGGGCTGCCAGGACTCATGCAGGGCTGCATCTCCAGCTCTTCCTCGGCCTCTTCCTGGGGCTCTTCCTCCGGCTCCTCCTCTGGCTCGTCCTCCCAGACTGTCTCGCCCGTCAGCGGGTTGTAGAAGAACACCCTGCGGCTCTCCTCATCCCAGTACTGGCCCCACTCTGCCTCAAGGCTCTCCTGGCTGCCCACTGAGGCCGGGGAGGTGGCCGGGCCAGTGGCGCCTTCAGCAGTCTCGAAGGGCGACTCCCAGGTGGTCACGCCCGTGTCGGGATTGTGGTAATAGGGGCGCCCGGTGCTCGCGTCCGTGTGCGTCTCCCACACCGGGCCGGATGGAGGAGCAGCGGCTGCGTGGGGCGAAGTGGCCCGCGGCTGCCGTTCTACGTTTGCGTACACGGGCTCCGGGGGTTCGTCCACCTGTGGAAGGCGAAGGAGACGACTTTCAGGGCAGCTCGAGGGTCACATAGTGCCAACTCGGCTACTTGCCACCTGGGCGACCTTCAGCCAGTCCCATTACCTCTCTGCCTCAGTTTCCCTGGGTGTAAGACATGTGCTCTGCCCATTCCAGAAGTTGTAGTGACCAGAATAAGATGTTCTTGAAAGTACTTTGTAAAGTAGTTAGCACCACAGATGGGTGGGTGATTATGTTATTTATTATTAACAATAAAACATTGATAATCCAGTTTTCATGACTGTATACTCAAAAGAGGCAGGGACAGAGAAATGGCCTGGGACCTCCATTCAGTGGTCCCCTTTTCAGCTTCAGCTTTGCCTTCCACAGCTCCAGTGAGAGCTTCCACCCATTCCTTCCCTCCCAGTCTAGAAAGCTCTGGGATTGGGTTGGGTTTGCAGGTATGGGAATCAGTTTCAGATGAGAGAGAGAGAGAGAAAGAGACAAAGAGCGAACAGCCAGATGGGCTGGAGAATGGAAAGTCAAAGAAAGGAGTCCCTTCCCCCTCTCCAAAGGAAGTGGGGGCCTCTGGGGGTTCATCAAGGGTGGCAGACCACGTGGAATACAAGCGCTCCATGCTTCATGCCCTCACAGAACAGAAGCTGGCCTGAGTCACACCTCCTGGCTCCTGGCTGGCTACAGGGCAAAGTCTAAAGCCTCAGCTAGGTGCAAGAGGACATCTGCCACCTGCCTGGGCTCACCCCTGATTTCCTGCCACTCCTTGCCCCTTCCCTTGAACTTCAAGCTCCATAGTACTGAGTTGTTACAGGTCCCCACCCTCTGTTCTGTGTGTCCTGCAGGCGTTGGCTCAGTCACAGCCTACCTGGACTCATCTCCTTTTCTCACCTGATTGACTCCTATTCCTTTATCAGGACTCAGCTCAAGTGCCAGGCTCCAGATCTCTCCTGAGACTCCTCCAGTGTGCCCAGCACTGTGAGCCGACTGGAGAAATAACTACATCATCAAACTACTTTATCAAACTGCAGAGTGGAATGTGAGGATGTTAGTTCTGTTTCCTGAGAATACGTAATGCTCCAGGCGAACAGCACATCTCAAAATGGTAGACCCCAATGGAAGTTACAATTTTGTGTTTTTGGAAATCACCCAATATGCTATCATTCTGGATAGGACTTATCTGCTTATAATAGGGTTTATATTTGTTTTCATTTTGATATTTTGCTGGTGCTGGGGATTGAACCCCAGGCCTAATGCACAGTAGGCAAGTGTTCTTTAAGTGAGCTACAGCCCCAGCTCAGTTTTTGTTTTGCTTTGCTTTGTTTTTAAACTTTCTGTAGACTCAAAATTTTGTACAATAAAACTTCAAAACCACAGAGGGGAACCATGGCTTGCTGGGCCTAAATATACTCATTCAGCCCATGAAGATTAGCCTCCCTGTTCTGTGCTAGGTACTGTTGCCAGGCACGGAATGCAGCAGGAACAAATGGACCCAAGTCCCTTCATGGCAGGATTGGCCCTGGAGTGCACATGTGTGGGAACAGCAACAGGGGAAATGCACAGCATGGTACTGATGACCCACTCAGCAAGAAAGCAAAGCCACTGTCAGAGAAGTGGAGTTGCAGTTTTAGGGTGGACAGTCCCCAGGAACACCAGTTCACCAGTTCCTCTCTTTACCCCGCCAGGCTCCTTGTGGTTGGGATGGGACCATCTACCCACTTTTCCTTTTCCCCCACCCCAGGCCTCACGTGGAATCCCATAGTCCAGCCATGCCAAGCTGTTCAACCACCTCTAACACGAAAGACACCTTCCCACCTCCGCGTCTTTGCTCTGGCCATCCCTCAGCCTGGATTCCCTGCTTTCATTCCCTACCTACCCAAGTCTTATTCCTCTGAGCACCTCCACCCACAGCTTCTCTAGAGAGAGGTCTAACGTGCTGGCACTCTGTTGTTCTGTTAGGGCTCAATGGCGTCCTGCCTCAGTGGTCAGTTAGCTGCCCACTGGTCTGCCACTTCTTCCCTCCAAAGCAGAGTTTCTTGAGAGCAAGGCACAGGATGATGCAATTAATGCCTCCGTCCCAAGCACACAGTGTCTGTCAAAACACTGCTTTAATCCATAGTGCAATCCTATGGCAAATGTCAGCAACACACACACACACCTCACGAACAGGAGAAGGCTTTGAGCAAGAACTTGCTGAGGATGAGGATTTAAGCCACAGAACCTAGGAGATGCCCTGGGAGGACATCCTGGAGGCCAGGAGGAGAGGAAGCTGAGGGAGTTGGATGTGCCTCCTACCACCCCTGCTGGACCCACTGGAGTAGTGGCCTTGCCTATCTCTGGGGCAGGAGTTGGGAGGGCCATGGGGAGTGAAAGAGCCAACAAAGGAGTTCTTTGGAGCAGAGCTTTCCACCTGGGCTGCATGGACTGGCTCTGCGTTCCTGAGCAGTCCCAGGGTCGTGGGGCTGACAGGATCTTGCACAGGGGACACTTCAGCAGGTACAGGAGATTTTGGAGAGAGAAGTTTCGTGACAGGGCTCTCACAAGCAAGACAAGATGCAGAGCACACTGTGAGGGCAGGGAGGAGGAGGAAGGAAGGAAGGAAGAAGTCTTCAATGCTGCCCCAGACGGGCTGTCCCAGACACACAGGCTGCTTTGAGGAGCAGTGGGGCCCTCAGAGCGGTGAGCAGGCAGAGCCACTCCCTCTTTGCAATGCTGTAGCCCTAGGGGCAGGGTATGTGTGACAGAACAGCACCCCTGAGGCCTCTGCAAGTTCTAGAACTTTCTGCGGAGCCCCACAGTGCCAAGATAGAACTGCTTTCTTCTCCTGGCAGGGCCTCACTGGTTTCTGACTGCTCTTGGGAGCCAGGTGGTGCCAGGCACACCACTGGGGCTTCAAGGGCATAGCAGGGCTTGCCACCCTGAGCCCCACTCCTGGAGGCCCAGATTCAGCCACAGCTCAGCAACAGGGGTCTGACATCACTGAGGGTTTTTGAGTAGTATCCTAGAGACACAGGAGGTGCAGAGTGGGAAAGAGGAAGTGGTCGCCCACCTCAGGCCAGAGGACTCAGTCAAGAGGGACCCCGGCTCTCACCACACCCACCGCTCCTTCTCACTTCCTCATGGATGCAGTGCTCCCCCTGCCTCCAGTCCCCTAGCCTGTCCACAAGCAGGTGGAAGCCTTGCCTTTCTTGCCCTAAGCTGAGTACCTCAGCCACACTCAGATACACAGAGCCCGGAGTAGGAAAGAGGTGAAAAGGGAAAAGCCCCCACCTCCCTGAGACTCCCTGCTGTGAGCCCCAGAGCACCTAACTCCTATCAGGATGGGGATGCAGGCTTGCTGGGAGCCCCCCTCCACCCCGCCATGACCACATAAGGCCCTCTGAGCTTGCCCCCGAGGCCCTCTACCCCTACCTGTTCCCGTAGAGCCCGACTCTGCCTCCTGGTCAGTTTGGCAATCATCTCCACCATCCCAGCCCCTGTGAGCTGCTGGGACAGAGCCTGGGAATGTTTGGGGGCGGGGAGGAGCCAAGGGGCACAACCCTAGGGCTGGCACAGGGCAACTGGGAAACAAGAAGTTGCCTCGAGATGGCGGGAGGCCGAGACTGCAGCTGGTTTCCTGTCAGGACTACGGAAGTGCAGCCTGAGACAGACTGCCTGACAGGGGCGGGGTGGGGGTACTGATTAGGAGGTGGTTCTTATGCTTCCTCGACTGCACTGGCTGCCCCACTCAGTGCTCTGGTGACCGAGGAGGTCTGACACTCAGGCCCAGATGCAGCCTGGAACAGCCTGCACAGATGGTCACATTTGAGTCATGGGTGGGCAGGGATGCAACACAGACAGTGGCAGGCAGAAGGGCAGGTGAGGACCTAGGCTTCGAGTTGCCCGGGGTAGTAGCTCCTGGGATGGAGAGTGAGTAGCTGTCCATTCCCTCAAGGCCCAGGGAGGATACAAAGAAAAAAGAGGAAGCTTGTGGGGGCAGGGGGAGAGGCTTCCAAAGAGGAAGAGGTCTGGGCAGATATGGTATCAGGGAGCTGATGTGTGGACCTGCACACAAGAGAACAGGAAGAGATTTGACCCACAGTATTTGCCTGCCTGAACACCAACTTGGTCACCAAATGTACCTCCTCCTCTCGGCCTGTGTGTCCACATCCATGTACGAGTCTGCCGTGCCCACCCTCCACTCTATTGAAACCAGTGGGGAAGTGGGCACCTGCCTGTCCCCCGTCCCTCCCTGACCTCTCCCTCCACCTCCTCGTGCATGTGGGTGTTCAGACCGCCAGCCGCACACGCAGTAGACACAGCGCACCTCTAAGCGCCCTCAGGGACCTTCTTGTCTTCCCTCCCTCTCCAAGGTTCTTTCTTTGCCAGGCCCCAGAAACAGGGCAGGCCACCATGGCAAATTTTTTCTCAGTTGCTCCATCCCCTGGCCTCTCTCCCTACAGCTCCCTGTGGGCTTTCAGGAAAAAGGCACCCAGGTAGCCATGAGCTATGGCAATAGATTTGGGGGCAAGGGACACTGGCAAGAGCACAGGAGGCTGGGGCTTCAGAGTCCTCTGTCCTATGGCTGGGCTCCTCAAGAAGCCCAGGACAAAATCAAATCCTTCTCTTTGCCCAAAGGATGGAAGTAACGAGGCTTCAATACAGATCCACACCAAGGGACTGAGCAACCCACACAGCTCTACCGGCTCTTGGCTTCAGAAGCTGCTTTCAGGATCTAGTGGCCTTCTCACTCGTCCAGCAAGAGAGGTGATGACCTCAGTGGCTCCCCACAGTGTCCTTCTCTCTCAAGCACACCTTCACACCTCTGAGAGGTGCACAGGGTTGTGTGGGGGAATGGACAGACACATCAGAACAGACCAGCTACACACCACCCCATCCTGCCCTCAGGCCTCCCCCTCTCTCCAAGCCCTCCTAGGAAGGATCTGCAGGAGCAGGTATAAGAGGAATACAGTCCTTTGGGACAAAAGCAAAAGAAAGGCCCCAAACCACTCCAATCATGGTGGTGTACACCTATAATCACAGCACTTAGGAAGCCGAGGCAGGGCTACAAAGCAAGTTCCAGAACATCCTAGGCTACTTAGTGAGACCCTGTTTCAAAACAAAACAAAAGCCAGGCATGGTGGCTCATGTCTGTAATCTGAGATAATCAGGAAGTAGAGGCAGGAGACCTCAAGTTTGAGACCAGCACAGGCAAAGGTGGTGATGAGACCCTGTCTCAAAATCAAAACAAAAACAAGAGTGCTGGGAGTGTAGCTCAAGTGGTAGAACACTTGCCTGGTATGTGCAAGACCCTAGCACCTCAAGGGAAAAAAAAAAAAAAAGAAAAAGAGAAAACGCCCAAACTTAGAGACTCAGCCCAGGAATTGCCTGGGAGCTGGCGAGGGACAAAGCCCCCTTCTTCTCTCACTGTGCCTGCTCTGTGCCCCAGGCTGGGTGGAGGGACAGCAGAAGCACTGTGTTCTTTGTCTTAAGGAAACTCAGTGATGTGACACAGCGAGACCCTCCCCGCCACACCTTCTCTGGACAGTAACTGGATCTTTCTCTGTATCACTCTGGCCTGGCATGGCCCCCAGCTACATGACCACTAACATGCAGGGAGAGGGGAACGAGGTCCCACTGCAGGGTCTTGGTCCCCAACCTCAGAATGCCTGAGGGAGCTGTCTGGAACTGGTGTGGGCTGGGGCCTGGGTGAAGCATTTTGTTTCTTGATGAAAAAAAACTTTTTGGGCCGCTCTACCTCAGCTTCTTTCTGAGCAACTGATGGAATTTCTGGCCTCAGTTTCTATAGCAGCAAAATGGGCTGTTCTCTTTCTCCCCCAGCCCCTGGACCAGTGTCTGTGACAACAAAGCATGCCGCTGAGTTCCCACACCCATGGGACATGGTGAGAAAGCAGAGCACACTTCTGCTTTTCTGCCTTTGGGTTTTGATTGGGCGCCCTCAGCACTGGACTCTGTCCCAGTCTTAGCTGACCGCATGGGTGGGGTCTGGGTGCAGCTCCTCACCTGTTCATACTACCTGCAGCTCTGTGTAAGGCTGCAGGGCCCATCAGGGCCAGCAGTGATCTGAAATGGCCCCTTAAGAACCTTCTGGCCAGCAAAAGGTTTTGAGCCAAGCTAGGAAGATGAGAAAGTGCGACCAGGGTGGCCACCTTTGCCCACACCCCAAACATCTGTATCTGCCTTCCCCACCCATTCTCCCTCCAGTCTAGGGCCCTAGGGTCTCCTGTCTAAGCCAGCTGAGCCACCATGCATCTGCTTGTTGGGTCACCCTCCTTCCCAATCCCCTAGGTCCCTTATTATTTCCACCCCCCACTCACCTAAGCTTTCACAGGACCATGGAGACTCTGCCTCCAGGAAGCATGCCAGGCAAATGAGAGACACATTCTTTTTTTTTCTCTTGTGGTACTGGGCTTGAACTTAGGGCCTTCACCTTGAGCCACTCCACCAGCCTATTTTGTGATGGGGTTTTTCGAGATAGGGTCTCTTGAACTATTTGCCCAGGGCTGGCTTTGAACTGAGATCCTCCTGATCTCTGCTTCCTGAGTAGCTAGGATTATAGGCCTGAGCCCTTGGCACTCCCAGCCAGACACACATTCTTGCTTTTCTCTGACTACATCAGTGTTAGGCAGGGGGAAGAAGAGGTGTTCAAGAGAGATGGGAGAAGCAACTGAGTGCCATGTATGGCTTTTGGCTAGATCCTGGATCAGGTGAGCCAGCAGTATCTTAGAATAATAGGGAAATCTGAGCACTGCCCAGGTCTTAGCTGATATTAAGGGATTCTTGGTAATTTTGTTAGTTATTTTATAATAGGGTGGCTATGGAGTAAGGACAGAGCTTGAGACATATGCTGAAGTTTTCAGGTATGAAATACAATTTTTTTGCAAGTACTGGGATTTGAACTCAGGGCCTACACCTTTGAGCCACTCCACTAGGTTTTTTCTAGATAGAGTATCCTGAACTATTTGTGCAGGGCTGGCTTCCAACCATAATCCTCCTGATCTTTGCCTCCTGAGTAGCTAGGATTACAGCATGAGCCACTGGCACCCAGCTGGAATTTACAATTCTTTAGCAGAAAAAAAAATACATATGGTCAACACTGTTAACCTAGGCAATATAATTATTTTTCTTTTAGTGCTGGGATTAAACTCAAGTCCTCACACTTCAAGTACGCTACCACTTAAGCCACACCCACAGCTCTTTACTTTATTTATTTTAAGATAGGATTTTGAGCTTTTGTCTGGGCTGCCTCAGACTAAGATCCTCCAACCTCTGCCTCCCAAGTAGCCAGGATTATAGGCATGCACCACCATGCCTGGCTCTTGTATTCATTTTATAAAACATTGCTTTTTTTTTTTTTTTTTTGAGACAAGGTCTCTCTCTGTACCAGACTGGCCTCAATTGAAATCTTCAGCCTCCCAGTGTTGGTATTACAGGGCATCACTATCATGGCTGGCTCCCTCACTATTGCCACCATATGAGTCCATTATTTCTCTTCTGAAGCAGACTTGCTCTTCTAGCTCCCCTGACCCCCGTTCAGTCACAGACATCCTGGGATTCTTTCCTTGAGGATGGAGCCCTGAGGTGGGGTCCTGGGAACAAGGTGGCTGCCATAAGTCACATGCCCTGCTCTCCTCTTCCCAGATGCAACCGTTCTCCTGCCTGAGTCACACAGGGCTGGGCAGGTGGGTGTGTAGGACCTGCCCAGGTTGAGGACTGTGCCTGAGGGCGAGGCTGCAATCCCAGGAATGCTGGGCACACTGATCCTGTCATGAAGCCCCAGGAAAGAGTAGGGTATCCTGAACCAGCCCTCTAGTCCCCAGGAGCGAGGAAGGTAACACAGAGGCTAGATGCACAGGGAGGAGAGGGAAGCAGGAGCAGGGAGAACTCCTGCTGGGGCCTCACCCACTCCACAGGCCCTTCCCCACTCTCAGGTGGGCTACTCCACCTGCACTGGGAATAAAGACTGTAAGTGCACCCCTCAGACGGCACTGCAGCTGGAAAGAGCAGAAGAAAGAGAACAATCAGCCAGTTGCTGCACCAGACCCATGCAGCCTGGACTGCCCTGCTGAGACGCCCTCACAAATCCCAGGGAAAGAAGAACCGGACAGTAAAAAATCATGCACAGGTGGCCGCCATCTAGACGGAAAATAATAAAGGTGGCCTAGGACTCTCTGTCCATATGAGAAACCCTCAAAGGGTTAAAGAGTTAAAAGTAATAAAATGAAGCCATAAAACACTGGAAAAAATTGGAAAATTTTCTACAGAGAGAGAAGAGAGAGAGAGAGAAGAGAAAGAGATTAATGATGATAATGAGGGTTTGGTAATGACCACAATGTGGGGTCACACAAGGTTATAAAGGAACTGAAAAAATTCTTATCACCTAGTGACACTGTAGCCATGTAAATCAGAGTATGACACGTTACTCATACATTTGGGGCAATGCTGTGTAAATAAACTGTTCACCAGTTATAGAAGTACAGCACATAGGCTGGAAGCACGGAGGTAGCTGTAGAAGTATAGCATGAAGCCCTGAGTTCAAATCCCAGTACTGCCAAAAAAGTGTACACAATAATAGCTATGTACAATACATATACTTGATAACAATAATAGATTATGCTACTGTTTTCTGTTTACTAAACCTATTACTTTTTATCCATATCAGAGTGTTTTCTTTGCTTAAAAAAAAATAGGTACTAGTTGCCAGTGGTTCACATCTGTAATCCTAGCTGATTGGGAGCTGAGATTGGGAGGACTGTGGTCAAGGACAGCCCAAGCAAATAGTTTGAGACTTAATCTCCAATTACCAGAGC